GTAATCACTAGGCATTTATCCTAATACATCAACCAATAAAATCAGTATTTTCGTATTTAGTTTATTTACATACATTTTAAAAAGTATAGGCTAAATCCCTTTTATTTTTCAGTTATTCTTTTCTGAATACAAGCAGCATTACGAGGACAATGCTATTTAACGAGTATTTCTCCGTAAGTTATTTAAGAAGTCTTGACAATATTATGGATTATCATCATCTGAAGGAGAAACCAACAATGTTATCACCCCAAACGAGCCTCCAGCGATCACAATATTCTAACTCACATTTCTCAAAATCTCTCAGTGTTTAATCATTCTGTCAACCCATGCTAAGTATCATGGTTGGATTGCACAATGCATTAATCACATATAATGACGGGTGTGCTTTGACGTGTGATTTTTTTTTAGCAAGCTCTCAGTCGCAGTCAGAATTTACTACGATGCGACATGCTAGATCTTGGTAGAGTGCAGGCCAAACAGTTTATGAAATATAGCCAAGAAAATGCATTATGAGAGTCATGCAATACAGTGCAGTGTTTGTGATGCGCACAACATGCAGGTGCTAGGGTCAGCATGGTCGGCTCATAGATGAAAGATCCCAGGGTTGAATCCTGGGGTGGGCGAGACGTACTGTTAGATATTCACATCTACTGCCTCTATTCACCTAGCAGCAAATATCTATATTACAGTCTATTCACCTTGAAGCAACTATCTACATCTACTGTCTCTTTTCAATGCAGTAAATAGGTACCTAGGTGTTAGTGGGTCACTCCCTGGAGTGGAGGGATCGCTACAATTCATGCACAGTCCGATACAGCGAGAAAATTCCGAAACTCTTGTATATTAATTTTTCCTTGAAAATTATATATTTAAATATATCTTTTAAAGTTATATTACGGGGCCACGATTATTAAAAGAAGATCCAAGCCAGTGGGGGGTCATTCATATTCTCTCTCTCCCTCTATCTCTCTCCTCTCTCTCTCTCTCTCTCTCACTCTCTCTCCTCTCTCTCTCTCTCCTCCTCTCTCTCTCCCCCCCTTTCCCTCTCTCTCCCTTCTTCCTCTCTCTCTCCTTTCTCTCCTCTCTCTCTCTCTCTCCCTTTCCCTCTCTCTCTCTCCCCCTTTCCCTCTCTCTCTCTTTCCCTCTCTCTCTCTCTCTCTCCCCCCCTTTCCCTCTCCCTCTCTCTCCTCACCCCCTTCCCTCTATCTCTCTCCCCCCTTTCCCTCTCTCCCCCTTTCCCTCTCTCCCTTTCCCTCTCTCTCCCCTTTCCTCTCTCTCTCTCTCTCTCTCTTCTCCCCTTTTTCCCCCTTTACCTCTCCCTCCCCCTTCCCCTCTCCCTCCCCCCTTTCCCTTTTTTTTTTTTTTTTTTACACAGGGTTTGACAAGGTTAAGGATCCCTAGCTTTATTGACAGCTATTTACAGGTTAAGGATTCCTAACTTTATTGGCAAGCTAAGAGCTGTTACCTACATCAGCTCATTTGAAAGCATTTTTATTGTTATGAGACATACAAGTAGGAAACAGGATGAAGTTGGAGCCATCTGTGGGCCAGCATTTTCATTTGATCAACTGACTATCTCGTTGACATCATTATGCTGTACGAATGTGTTCCATACTCTAGTCATCCTGGGTATGTATGATCTCAGATGGAGTGATGTTCTGAGAAGGATACAGCCAGAGTGAAGTTGCTGCTTTCTGCCCGTCTTGTGGCATAAAAGCTTGTTTTCACCGCTGTCCTCGAAGTGGATCCAAGTGTGGTATTTTGACAATATTGGCCTTGTACATATCAGTAAGGCCACCCACATCCCTCCCATGTTGAAGGCTCTGCTGAAATGACAGATCTATCCAGGATGGGTCCAGGCGAGAGATGAGACGTCTTGCTCTGTTTCTCTACTCTGTCAAGCAGTCGCAGATGAGAGGGGGGGGGGCAGGCAAACCAAGAAAGTGGGAGCATACTCAAGTGCGAGCGTACTTGTGCCTCGTACAGGATCTTGCAACCCCTACTGTCAAGCAGATGGGAGATACGGCGAAGTGCTGTAAGCTTCCTGGCTGCCTTGTTTGCAAGATTTACAGCATGGTTCTTCATGGTTAGTTTGGAGTCAAATTTCACCCCAAGGATATCAACTTCTTCTCCAGGTGCCAACATCCTCCCATTCCATCCTTACTACTGCACCAGCATTACCATCATGGTGCCTAGAGACGATCATCATTTGCGTTTTCTCAGGTGCAAATGTTACTTGCCATCTATTTCCCCAAGCTGATATAGCTCTCAGCTGGAGATTGATGTAGCTTAGAGCAGCTGGCATTTCTTCTCTTGGATAAGTGAATGTCAGTGTACAGTCGTCTGCATATGCACGTGATTCTGGGATGAGATGAAGAAGGTCGTTGAAGTAGACATTCCATAATGGACCCAGCACGCTTCCTTGTGGAACACTTGCCCCAATTAGGAATTGTCTGCTGATTCCGTTCCATTGAGAACTACACTTAGAGATCTACCATGAAGGTAATCACTGAGGAGACATAGCGTAGAGCCTGCAATTCCCATGCTTGAAGTTTGCTAAGAGGCCCTGTGCCACACCCGGTCGAAAGCGCCAGCAATGTCCAGTGCATACCACACAGCTGACTTTAGGATTCATCTCTCTCTCCTCCACCCCCTTTCCCTTTCCTCTCCCTTTCCCTCTCTCTCTCCTCCCTCTCTCTCTCTCTCTCTCCCCTCTCTCTCCCTCCCTCTCTCCCTCCCTCTCTCTCTCTCTCCCCCTCCCTCTCCCTCTCCCTTCCTCCCTCCCTCCACTCTCCCTCTCTCCCTTCCTCCCTCCCTCCCTCTCCCTTCCTTCCTCCCTCCCTCCCTCTCCCTCCCTCCCTCCCTCTCCCTTCCTCCCTCCCTCTCCCTTCCTCCCTCCCTCTCCCTCCCTCCTCCCTCTCCCCTTCCTCCCTCCTCCCTCTCCCTTCCTCCCTCCCTCCCTCTCCCTTCCTCCCTCCCTCTCCCTTCCTCCCTCCTCCCTCTCCCTTCCTCCCTCCCTCCCTCTCCCTTCCTCCCTCCCTCCCTCCCTCTCCCTTCCTCCCTCCCTCTCCTCTCTCCCTCCTCCTCCCTCCCTCCCTCTCCCTTCCTCCCTCCCTCTCCCTTCCTCCCTCCCTCCCTCTCCCTTCTCCTCCCTCCCCTCCCTCTCCTCCCTCCTCCCTCCCTCTCCCTTCCTCCTCCCTCCCTCTCCCCTTCCTCCCTCCTCCTCTCCTTCCTCCCTCTCCCTTCCTCCCTCCCTCCCTCTCCCTTCCTCCCTCCCCTCCCTCCCCTTCCTCCCTCCCTCTCCCTTCCTCCCTCCTCTCCTTCCTCCCTCTCCCTTCCTCCCTCTCCCTTCCTCCCTCTCCCTTCCTTTCCTCTCCCTTCCCTCCCTCTCCCTTCTCCTCTCCCTTCCTCCCTCTCCCTTCCTCCCTCTCCCTTCCTCCCTCTCCCTTCCTCCCTCTCTCTTCCTCCCTCTCTCTTCCTCCCTCTCTCTTCCTCCCTCTCCCTCAGAAGCGAGGCGTCATTTTACCTTGTACAAGTGAATTTATTCGTGCTTTCTACTTTCGTAAACTAACCTCAGAATGCTCCAGCTATTAAAAAAAATCGGATTTCGTTCAATTGTTTGACGTGACGTCTGACTTTCATGCAAGAGGTCTGAGGGGCTAAGAAATGACGCTGTTGGTGATGGCACTGGAAGGGGGAGGGAGAGAGATGCTGTTAATTACTGTATATCTCTTATTAACAATATAAAGACTTCATAATTAGCTGATGCAGATATGTAAATAAAGGTAGGAACCCTTAATCTAACCTTGTAAAACCCTTGTGTAAAAGAGAGAGAGAGAGAGGGAGAGAGAGAGAGAGAGAGAGAGAGGTATTCTCCTTCCTGTACAAGTAGACAGGATCCACTGCAATAATAAGATGACTGCTCTTCCCTGGTGACCACTTTCAGAAAGCTGCCAGCCAGTAACCCATTAAAGAATGGCAACGTAGAAGACGCCTGTGGGACAAGTTTATCAGAGGCCATGAAACATTAGTATGCATGAGACAGTAAGCGCTCGCCACAATCTAGAAAAATTGGAATAAACGCAAGGAAAATGAGCGATGAATGTTGAGAAGAAAGGGGGAGAAAAAAAAAAGATTAGGAGGCATATGAAGAGGCAGGAAAGCAAAGAAAAAAGAAGAGATTAAGATGTCATCTTCGGGATGTGAGAGGAAAAATAAATGTGAAATGGTATTAAACAAATCATAAAAAAACTCATTTTTCCTCGTATTATCCATGGTATAGGAAAATGAGACGAGGAAAAACAAAGAAAGTAAATTTCCATTTTCTTTTAGTTACAGTCTTTTGTTTCAGCTACGATGATTGTGAGGAAGAGGTAGCGAAGGAGATAATGAAAGCGAATAGCGAACGAACAAAGTTAGGTAAAAAAAAAAGAGAGCTAATTAAAAAATAACAGACTAGTCAATAAGTAAACAAATAAAACAAGGAATACAACAATGCTTAAAAACAGGTGCTGGACACAGCGGTTTGTTAGGCATCATTTTCGTCAATAGCCAGGAATTTTCTTTGACCCGTTTTCCTAGTAATTTTTTCATCCCGGATTTTCCCTTTCCTTATAATTTTAGATTGTGTCCCAAGGAGTGAGTTTACTGGGCAGTGCGACTTACCCCATTATTATTATTATTCGAGTTATTATTTTTATTACTGAGGGAGGCGAGCCAGTGGCTTACCACCCACAATATTGATGAAAAGTCACGCTGTAACGTTTCCCTTTGTTAGAGTTTAATAACGTTATACCACAACTTGATAACACTATACAGAGCGAAATGTTGTCCTGATAAAAGCTTGTCCCGCAACTCTTCTATTCTTGGCTGTCTCAGTATACAAGTATCAATGTTTGCAAACTCAGTAGTCTTATCGTTGCCTTTGCAATCGATTATCACCTACTGTGCTTGCGATAAATCCTGCATGCTTGGTGGAAAACTGCAAGCGGGAGACTCACCAGACTGTTAGAAAGACGTTGAAGCAGATGACATTGAGCCAGAGGAAGGCGGACAGGTACCAGAAGTGCATCATCACAGCTGTGGGTACACCAGCATCATTAGTATTACACAGGTGCGATCAATCACTATGGTGTAGTGCACTAACTCTGTTACAGTTGCACACGCAGAGTGCACCAGAATTCTTAGAATTAAAATTAATGTATGGTCATTCAGTACAAGAGTGAGAGACACCATTATCATTAGAATCAGAAAGGTGGGAACGTCACTACAGCTGAGAATTAAGAAGGGAAAGTGAGACTGAAAGTGAAGAACATTTTGACATTTTTCTCAATATTTCATTGATATCTGCAATAATTTCAAGAATTTTTTCAGTTTTACAGGCAAGTGACCAATGAGTTAAAGATTATTTTCTCGTATTTCCAGATTATATTATTCACGAATAAGCGTTAAAACCTGTTGGGGCCATAGAGTGATGTGGAATGGGAAATAATCAGGTTTGATCCACAGAAGGAATGGGGAACTCCGGTTCCTTGGGACAAGATCCCTTTACTGGCATCAAGCATTTCCCCCACACACTATCGCGAAACTGACTCCCTCATGAACTAATCAAAGATCACCTGCCGAAGGTACTGAATAATATTACCAAACTCAAAATGCACGATTATTTTATTATTATTATTATTATTACTTTAATGACATATACAATAATGGTAAACTTGATGACTAAGACACTCATGAATACTTAAGCTGTAATTTGAATGTGAGGTGGGGGTTTCTAGGAGATAAAGGTGGTGTAGTAATACACTTGAGTATGGCTGGTAGCACTTATATTTGCAGAGTCATGAGGGGAAGCCCAGCCTAGCCTTCTTGCCTGTAGGTCTATCCTGGAACAGAGAGAGGCAGGGCGACAGATGCTCACACGTGGCACCACGTGACGTCACACATGCTAGCTGCTGAGCCTAGCTGAGCAGGGAGCCTAAATGTATATACGAGTGATATCTACAATATACTACACAGGCATATATAGGGGGAATTCAGTAGCTATGCTGACAGCTCGGTCATGTTATGTATGGCATCTCGACATACCATACTCTACAGGCTGAACAGGCAGGTGGCTCTGGGCTGATTCTATACACTAGCAAAGACATATGTAACTTAGAACTAACCACAGAATTGGTAATGGGATATACTCGACTGAATGAATAACACAGGATGGATATTACTGTAACAGCTGGTAAATGTAATGGATGGTATCGTAATGCATTACGAATTATAGTAACAAATCACAGTACAATAAAAGATAGAAATGATCGATCGATCTGTATTCATGTATTCTACGGATTCTGAGGAAGAATATATATTTACAAAGGGGAAGTAATTAACAGCAAAGGCAGACCTGGTGTGTACGGGTCATCACTGCTAAATCTCAGAATTCGGAGGGAAAGTGAACAAACAAGTTAACAACTTCATTCAACTTGATCATCTAATTATACAGACTATGTACATTTAAACCCAACTCTGTGAGGGTAAGATTACATATGCAGAATGGTTATCATCTCTGGGAGGATCGAAGTCTTTTGCATGGCTAACGCATGCCTTGGTTGAGGGAGATCTGAATGAGTATCTACAAAAGATACTTGGGGGTTTCTCATTACTTGTGTACGCAAGGAATAACGACATTCAGGTTGATCACCTGAGTGTTAGAGGTAGAGGGTACAGAGTCAGGAGGATTGTCCGCGTCTGTCACATTAGTCTGGGTAAAATATCGTCACATCACATACTAATTCATATGATCTAAATGCGATTCTTTATACCGACCTGTACTAATTTCTCTAACTTTATGCTTATTGCCATTGATATGTTTGACTACTCGATAAGGACCAGCAAACTTTTGATCGAGCTTAGGCATTGCAGAAGTTTTGTTGAGGTAGTGAGCATTACTCTCGAACTCACTTTAACCTTGGTCGGCTTAGCACGGCTATTAGTTACTCTTATAAATTCTGCTGTTGACTTACGGAGTTTTTTCTCGACTCCTGAAAACACTGAGCTAGACTGGTACAAATGGCTATGAAATCATCAAGGTTGAAATGGGTTTTCGGTGCGGAATATAACTCACAAGGCAAACGCTTGTTTGCACCGTAGATGAGTAAGACACTCAAGCAATACTTGAGTAACTAATTTGAAGACGTCTCTCCTGTCTGACTTTTTCAATTCAGTGTAAAGACCGAGCTGAAAAAAAAGCCATTGGATGGTGAAACGTCTTCATAATAGAGATATCCAATAAAATAATATAATCAGCAGAGCAAAAAAAAAATCCAAAGAATATATCTTGTCTCTAGAATGCATTCTGACTACCACATCTCAGCATTTAAACACTTCAGTACATCACGTACCATGACTCGTTGTTGCCTCCCTGTCAGGTATTCTCTGATCCATTGCAGTGCCTTTCCTGTTATGTGTGCCTGATCTAGCTTTTTCAGTAACCTCTTGTGAGGAACTGTGTCTAAGGCCTTTTTGCAGTCCAAAAAAATGCAGTCGATTTATTTCATTATATTGCATAACCGATCACAATACATCAGCATAGAGTCCTACTTAGAAAAATATTGGAAGTGCCTAAGTACTCATGTAAGAAGTGTCTGCGGTCCCTTTTTTGCCCTTCCCCAATCTTCATGACTTTGCATTTGGCAGGGTTAAACTCAAGGAGCCAGTTGCTGGACCAGGCTTGTAACCTGTCCAGGTCTCTTTGTAGTCCTCCTGATCCTCATCCGATTTGATTCTTCTCATTAACTTCACATCCATCTGCAAACAAGGACACTTCTGAGTCTATCCCTTCCGTTATGTCTTTTCACTTATACCAAGAACAGCACAGGTCCTAGGACTGACCCTGTGGAACCCCGCTTGTCACAAGCGCCCACTGACACCTTTGTCACGTACCATGACTCGTTGTTGCCTCCCTGTCAGTATTCTCTGATCCATTGCAGTGCCTTTCCTGTTATGTGTGCCTGATCTTCTAGCTTTTTCAGTAACCTCTTGTGAGGAACTGTGTCGAAGGCCTTTTTTCAGTAAAAAAAAAAAATGCAGTCGATCCACCCCTCCTCTCTCTTGTCTTACTTCTGTCACCTTGTCATAAAACTCTAGTAGGTTTGTGACACAGGATTTTCCTTTCCCTGAAACCATGCTGGTTGTCAATTATACACTTGTTTCTTTTCAGGTGCTCCACCACTCTCCTCCTGATGATCTTCTCCATGACCTTGCATACTATACACGTTAGTGATACAGGTCTGTAGTTTAGTGCCTCATGTCTGTCTCCCTTTTTAAAAATTGGGACTACATTGCCCTCTTCCATACCTCAGGGAGTTACCAGTTTCAAATGTGTGTTGAAGATCTTTTTTAATGGCACACACAATATCTCTGCTCCCTCTTTAAGGACCCACGGAGAGATGTTTTTCTGGTCCCACCGCCTTTGAGGTGTCAAGTTCGCATAGCAGCTTCTTCACTTCCTCCTTGGTTATAATGTACCTCATCCAGCACGTGCTGGTGTACCCCCCTGTTCCCGATTTCCTGGAGTCCTGCTGGTTTCCACTGTAAAATACTTCTTTAAATCTCGTGTTGGGGCTCCTGACATACCTCTCGGTCGTTTTCTTGTGAATTCCCCATCACCCTTCCTCATTCTGATTACCCGGTCCTTGACTGTTGTTTTCCCCCTGATGTGGCTGTACAAAAAGCTTCGGGTCAGTCTTGACTTTCGATGCTATGTCATTTTTATATTTCGCTGAGCCTCCCTTCTTATCTGTGCATATTCATTTCTGGCTCTTCGGCTAATCTCTTTATTTTCCTGAGTTCTCTGTCTTCTGTACCTTTTCCATTCTCTAGTACACCTAGTTTTTGCCTCCCTACACCTTTGGGGGAACCAAGGGCTCGTTCTGTTCTTCCATTTTTTCTGTTTCCCTTGGGAACAAACCTCTCCTCTGCCTCCTTGCATTTTGTTGCCACATAGTCCATCAAATTTTTTGTACTGGTTTTCCTGTCAGTTCCCTCTCTCACTGAATGTTTTGAAGGGAAATTCCTCATGCCTGAGTAGTTCCCCCTTTTGTATTTTTGGGTTTTTTCCCCCCCTATTCCTGCTACTCTCTCCACTTGGAGCTCAACTGTGTAGTCGAAGCACAGAACCACATGATCACTAGCTCCCAGGGGCCTTTCATACAAGATATCCTCGATGTCTGAACTACTCAAGGTGAATACAAGGTCCAGTCTTGCTGGTTCATCTTCTCCTCTCTCTCTGGTAGTGTCTCTAACATGTTGATGCATGAGGTTTTCCAGTACTACATCCATCATCTTGGCTCTCCATGTTTCGGAACCCCCATGTGTGTGTGTGTGTGTGTGTGTGTGTGTGTGTGTGTGTGTGTGTGTGTGTGGCGCTTACACACCTAACAGATTATAATACTACTAACACAACTCCAACAATATGTACTGTTTTGCCAGACACTCCCCAAAAATATATAAAAATCACAAACGTGACGCAAAGTAGCACACTGGTATATACACTGGTATGTTTAACAATGTGCCAACGAGCGAAATTATTGACCAACATAATCTCAGATCAGGAATCTGGTTGTGTGGTTTTCATAAGCACTGTGATGGTGAGTGTGCAGGCTAAAGTGCGGCTTTTCTTTTGGGATAATGTTTGTACAAGATGTGTACACGTCTCAGTGCATATACATTACTTATGGTATTAAAGTATCCTTGACTGGCGGTGTACACGAGACGTACAACCTGAATGGTTCTCGTGCTTAAGATAGAAGTTAAACGGCTAAAAGCGACACCGAGGACGTCCTGACCCTCTAGAGCAGGAGTTCCCAACCTGGTGGAGCACTCACCCCCCGAGGTTGGGTGCACGCATCCCCAGGTTGGATGCATGCACCCCCAGGGGGTGCGTACATCCAACCTGGGAGTGCAACAAAGAGTCCTAATGAAAAGCACAATTCCGTTTATTTTACCAAAAACTTTTCTAATTGCTCAATTTATATTTGCATTTTATGCACTGAATTAAAAGCTTACTTTCTGAGTTCAATTTGTTC